AAAAAAAAAAAGTTATTTTAAGTTAATATTTTTTAATTTGATACTTAATATTTATTTTGATATTAATCTTTTATAGAATATAAATATATAAATTAAAAGATAAAATTATTAGTTACAAGTAATAAAAAAATTAGATAAAAATCATTAATCAAATAATCCTAATAAGAATTAAAACAAAATTAATTCAGAATCCAAACAAAAATATAATGATATATTTTAAGAACCAATAATAATAGATAATTAAAATAATTAAAGTTAATTTCTATAATAATATTTGATACAACTTTTTATAGCAAATGCAGTTATATTTGAATCTAATAGATAAGTAATTTAAAACTAATGGTAAGATTTCTACCACTTGTGTAAGATCCTATTCAGCATGTTATCACATTTATATAGTATTTAAATAAATTTATAGTTAGATTCAGAGATACCTGTTACTAGAAATAATTAATCAACAATGTTAGGTTACTTAATATAAAATATTGTATATAAATAATGTATTTTAATACAAATAACTATATGTAGAAAACGCTTGAATTATAACTTATATATTTATTATCAATAAAAGATATGCATTGTTGAATATTTGTCTCTTAAAAAAATAGATAAAATAAAATATCTTATGTAAAAACCAACAAATATCATATTATAACACAATTATTAACTTATTTTTAATTTTAATTTAAATACAAAACCGTTTTCTGACGAATTATATTTAATTGTATTATTAGATTAGGGCCAAACAACTTATTTATTAACCAACTATCCAGTTTTTGATGTTTATATTTCAAATTCTATTGGCCAAAAAAATAATCAATTCCCTGGATTATGCCACATGATACGAATATTAAACAATTTTTAAGTATGTGCTTTTACAGTTTTATTACTGTACTAGAATAAACAACCGGTAAGTTCATACAAATTCAACTTTATCTTAATATTTCGACAAAACTACAATCTATTTCTTGAGGTCAACATTGAAACTACGTGTTATTACAAATTATTCTATTTTTACAACCACTTGTATACAATATAGTGACATCTAACTATATGGCAAACTTTAGCATACTTGTACCCCACAAAAGTTTTACGAAGCCAATACTTATATGGATAGACGATGTGCGCTTTATAATGAAGATCCGTGCTTTTGTACTGAACTGGAGCAAAGACGGGACCTTTGATGATGGTAGTGTCGGAGTTTTCGACCTCGGATGTTGATTTTGGATTTTGTGCGGCCATTTCCCAGAGTTCACCAGTTTCTGGCAAATTTTCAAGAGAGGTTTCAACGATTTTTACAGCATCGGCATTTGTAGTTGCCGATGCAAATAGAATAAATGTGGAAATAGTAAAAACGGCTAAAATTATGACTAATGTCTTGGGGAAAAACATTTTTATCTTGAAGATGTAAAAACACAAGAACTGAAAGGTCCTTATATATACTATATATATAATTGCATCGAGGGGTGATGAAAATTTGATTAAATTTAAGTATGAGATTTCTCACCGAGCATAAGTTTATATCATTCACTTTATTGCGTTAGTATAAATTTTTAGCTTCAACGAAAGGTTCATCATGAGTTTCTCTTTGAGAGTCTATCATGAAAAAAAGTCAATTTTCTTATCATTCAGATCATTCCCTTCTAGTATACTCTAAATTTTCCGGAAAAGTATATTATTAACTATAATCAAGTGTTATTAGTCTATTATTGAGTATAATCATGAGTATAATGAGTTTGATTAATGGATCAAATTTAACGGTTCTATGTGATATAGAATGTTGTAGAGAGTACATACTGTATGTGAAGAAGAAAATAAATTCGACAAATGAAGAAAGGTGTTTGGTTATAAAAAAAGAAATCTTATATATGACTACTATTATGCCCTTTTCTATTAATAATAATGTATAATATGTAAAGTTCGCACACAAAATTTTCTTACTAAAATCAATATTTCGATTAACAAAATTATACAGTATCGTTAATGCAAAATTATAAAATTACAATTCTATTTCTTACTAATTTAATAAATTTTAAATAATGCATATGTTAATTATTAATATTATATTATTTATTGTAATGGAAAAAATAGTTGCAGAAATGACATTTAGGGTTTATCGCTACAGTGTTATTTGTAATGATAATGTTAATTAACTATTCTTTGAGTCCAGGAAGCTTCAAGCTTCCCTCGGCTCCTTTATCTTTGGTCGAAAGAATGAAATTTTTTGTATTGCCCATATTGTCCAATAAGAAACTTTTTTATTCCTTCGTATTTAATAATTTAAAATTTTTACAAAGTTTAAACCATATTTATATATTTCTTGTTTGTTCAATTTTTTGTATACAATCATTCTTAATTCAAAATTTTAATTAGTAATCTAATGCAATTAAAGGTATCAAATAAAATTAAAGTTGTTAAATTTCTTTAAAAAATAAAGACATCAGAAATAATTAATATTAGTGGTTTTAAATAGTTACTATTTTAATCTAATTAAGTTTTCCAAAATAATAACTTATTGTACTATTACAACTATTTTTTAACTTTCTTTAATTTATATGAATTTTCTAGCACATAAT